TTTTTTAACTTGTGTCTTGAGTAACGTCCAAGGATTCAGTCTAATTCTTTATTTCATCAGTAGGTAATGTTGCCTCTGAGTTGGCGATCGTCTTAAAATAGCTCGAAGCGTCCAGGCTTCGAGTTAGTAAATCATTACATCATCACTAATGGCACACTACATTCAGTTGTCCTTTTTCGAATCTGGTGTTGTGAAAATTCATCGAAATTTCACCTCCTTTAAGATTTCGTAACAAAACGTATAAAGTGAGATCCTTACAACTCTTCAGTGTATTAATAGGCAAATTCACTTCTGAGCTACTGATCGCTCTGAAGCAGCTTCACTCTGCTTGATTATTTCAGCGTTAAGCTTTTTAGAAGTCGAGAAAGGGGATCGCACTAACGATTCCGATGTTTGAATTTGACTTAAGTCCTGTCTTGATATCATACGTATGAGACGTGCTGTAAGTGCCCTTTTGTTCTTACAAGTCACCACTGTGGTTTTTGTGGTGGCCGAGGCACCTTTTGAGATCAGTCAGGCTGATGTCCCAACTGAATGTCCTGCCTAGTTTTATAAACCTGCGCACCAGGTTTATAAAACTATTCATCAATAATATCATGCTGCTCTCACTTTCCCTCTCATACAATTCTTTGCGGATCTGTCGTCGAAAAAACAATTTCCATTTAGGTTATTGAAAATCTGCTTATCATATTGAAAACAAAACCTCATTAAAATTAACTTTCAACGCACTTTAAAACACGCCTACTACAAAAATCTCCTCAAGTGTAAAACTCAGAAGTCTTTAAGCAGCACAACAGTTTCTTTAGGAATTTATCCGCTTTATTAAAAAAAAGCACACACACACACACACACTAAAAGCAAAGCAAGACACAAAGCCTCCGGACTGTAAGAGAGGGGCAGGCAGGTTCCGTCTAAGGTCGCATTCTGACAACAAATATCTAATAAAATAAAGGGGTGAGAAGGTTTGAACTCCTAACTCAGTAGGAAAAGCGCATTGCAACTGAAGAGTGAAATGAGTTAGGATGTTTGTAATGTACGTGATATTTTGATGAACTAAATGCGAATTATTTGATCGATAACGATTCCTTAAGCTGTCGGAAAGTGGACAACTGAGTGTAGACTGAAATTAGTCATGAAGTAATGATTAACTAAGCTCATCACGTAAGCTTCGAGCTCCTTGAAGACGATCAGCATTAAGAGGCGACATTGCCTACTGGTGAAGAGAAGAATCAAACGGAATCCTTCTACGTACGTTTCAATAACCTAAATAGAAATTGTTTTTTCGACGACAGATCTGCAAAGAATTGTATGAGAGGAAAATTGAGTGCAGCATGATATTATTGATGAATAGTTTTATAAACCTTGTGCGCCTGGAGTTGTTTGAAGATTATCAAGCTGGAGGCAACGTTGCCTACTGGTAAAATTTAGAATTGAATTCAATCCTTAGATATATGTCAAGACATGGTAAAGAAGGTGACATTTCGATCAACAAAATGCGATTTATTTTACTCCCTACAGATGATC